TATATTAATAATTTATTTTTAAAATCATATTTTTTATTAACAAAAATGTGTTCCAATCAATGGGTTATTTTTAAAATCATATTTATCATTGACAAAAATATATTTCGCTTAAGAGACTATCGATATCTGATCAACGTGATTTTTTACAAGGATGAAGTACTCAACGAGTTCTACATATTGAATTGTTTGGATAATCAAAACGGGACCTGTGGTGGGTCCCACGAGCCCAATAGTATGGTCTAATTCACAAAATATACTGAAGAGAAGCTCATCCCTTTGCTTTAAGCTCATTATAGCTTATTTTAATCTGGAAGTTTATGTTATTGTCACGACCCAACCCCAGGGCTTAGGGTTAGAATCGGAACTTACTAACTTATTCTACTTGTAGCAAATTAAACTGCGCAAGCGGAAATAAAAATAATTAAACAGGAATTACTCTATTTTACTATTTTAATAAGAGAAATTACATTTATAAGGTTTTTATTATTTTATTATTTAGTGATCGGCTCCGAGTAGAAACAAAAGGGAGCAAATATATATATAAAAAAAAGAAAGGCAAAATAGTGGTTCAACATCAATCCTCGTGCGGGTTCCATTACATGAGGTTATCGGTTTTCTCTACATCTCGTCACCTGAAATGGTAACAGCTATAAGCACACAATAGAGTAATAAATATTATGCCAAGAGTATAGGGAATACAAAATAACCATGGATAGTTAGTTAGGCCAAAATATTTACATAACTCAATTTGGTAAATAAATAATTTAAGTGGCAGAAACTGAAATACAGAAATTATGTAAATAAATAACTATAGCCACGGTACAGAACAGAACAGAACAGAGGTCACAGAAGTGACAATCAGAATAGAGGTCAATGGGTCCATGACAAACAGAGGACCACAAAATGGCCAAACAGAGGCCAATGGTTATTTAAATCTCCTAAGGCGTGGGACTCCCGTGGTGGTACTTACAAAACATAATTATTTATAAGGTCATAGTCAAATATTCTTTAAAATTTAAACAAATATATCCATGGGTTTTATTTAAACAAATAGAGTTTAGAAATTAATCCATGTAACTGAAATATTTCTAAAACATAACTTGAATTAATATAACTTATAAAATATAACTTGTATAAAATAAATTATGGTAAGTTAAAACATACGTAAAATATATTATGGTAACTCAAGGTATAATATAATGCACCTTAGTATTGACCCTTAGCTTTACTCCACTATCACAACCTTCCTACTATAAGATTTTTACTTTCAGTACTTACGTGCCTCTCTCTCGTTTTTTTCCTTTCTTTTTTTTTTCCCTCCCGCAGATTTGAGCAACTCCTTCCTAGGGAGGCAAGACCACTATCAGGCCAACACATGGCCGATCTTGAATCCTCCTTTGGATTTGTTTCATAACTCACTTGGATTTGTTCATAGATTTATACTTATCTTAGTAAATGTTTATAGTAATTACACCTTTGCCCAATTTCTTAGCATAACTATATAAATAAATTAATTCCTAATTAAATTACACTTTATCGTATACTAACAGAAAATTAATTATTTATTTTGCTACCACACCCACTATTAGTATTATTATTTATTTACTCTTACTTTTATATTTATTTATTTACTATCTTTAGCTCTTAGTTGGCCTAATTATAATTTCATATTTCTGTTAATTTGGCCCTAAATAATAATTTCTAATTAATCTCATATTTGATAACCCAATGCCAAATTAGATTTATATATATATTTATTATTATTTATTTATTTAATAATATATTATCACATGCAATCATAATTATATATAGCTATAAATATTTATGTGGTATTTAATTAAACACTTAGGGTATCACAGTTATATTGTTTGGTGCAACTTTTGTTTATAATTTATTAGGTAAAAATAATTATAAAAAAATTAATTATTTGAAAACAAGAAAAAAGATGCTTTTAACTTCTATTTTCTTATTATCATTTGGATCCATTTCAATGATCCAAACTGTTCACTTTTTAAAGCATATCAAATAAAAAATATCTGCAAAAAATCAAGTTGATCCGATATCAATAATCTTTAATCAAATCGTATTTATATTTAATTTTTTACTTCAAATCAAATTTGCTATTCATTTTTGTAGATACAAATTCAATTCGATCAAATGGTTAATGATATTTGATCAACTTTATTTTTTATTTTAATCAATTTTTTTATTATTATTTTAGATCTACTTAATAATACAATTAGGGTTACTTTGGCAACCTATTAAAATAGTCAAAAAGTCAACAATTCTCTTTATTTGTCTATAGATCTTTTTGTAAAAAAATAAAAAAATCAACTAAAATATCTGGTTCCCAAAACAACCCTTACAAAGTATAAAATTTGTTAATTTTTTAACTAAATATTAAAAATGCAAAAATTCGTATGTTTTTTTGCATTTTTTTCTATTTATTAATTTTTTTTATACATTTCTTCCCAAATATTTTACTTTTTAAGTAAATATAAATTAAATGTATCAAAAAATAAAAAAAAATACTAAAAAAAAAAGTACAAATTTAAAATTTAAAAACTAATTTTGAAAACTCCAAAACCAAATCGAGTGATTATCTTTGAGCTTGTAGATAATTAATTGAGAGACTTACAGGCCATTCCTATTGATCAGACTTATTTACTTGTAAATCCTGCTCATTTTTTCACCTATCAATATCTCCAAAATACCCTTCATACACATCCTTCAACATGTCAATCATCAGATCATTGCCATGACCCACCATCGCCCACCTCTAGCCATCAACAATAACTTTCAACTGTCGGTGATGACCTCCGACAACTACTTCTAATGACAGTTCCCGACACCATTTTTTAGCAAAAATAACGTCCATCTCCACCACATCACTACTTCCTCAGATCTAATGGCAACAAAAGAATAGAAGAAGAAGAAGAAGAGAGAGAGAGAGAGAGAGAGAGAGAGAGAGAGAATGAAAAGGCAAAGGAAATGTCTTACAAGAAAATAATTGTCCTCAATGTCATAGATCAACATAATCATGCCTTTACCATATATTCTCTGCCCTCTTTACAGTGATAAATTTATCACTAATAGAATGACCTATCTAGCATATTCATTTCTACAATGATAAATCAGTGACAAATTCATCACTATATAAATATAAAAATTAGCAACAGTATACAACATATTCAACAAACCAATGATAAATTTATCACTGATAGATTAACCATATTGCATATTCACCTATCTCCAGTGACAAAAATAATAAATTTATCACTATTTAAAATCATTATAACTAAGTTTCATCTCAAAACAAATAACATAACTTACAAACTCACAAAAATGACATAACTTTCATAAAATAACAATGATAAACTAATCGACATAACAAACAAAGTGAGTGTTGTTGACGACGACAAAGGAGGAAGGTGGTTGAGGCGAGTGATGTTGACAGTGACGGAGAAGAATGATGGTTGACGGTGATGTCAACAAAGGAGGAAGGCGGTGGTGTGAGTTGAGTGATAGCGGCAACGAGAGAGGAAGACGACAACAGAGTGTAGATCTGCAATGGTGGATGTGGATATGTGACAATGGTGGTGGATCTAAGATAGTCACGGTGGTGCATATATACATTAGTGGTGGTGGTGGTGGACAATGATTTCACGACAGTGACAGTGGTGGTGGTTGGTGGTGGTCGGCTAGTGTTGTGTGTAGTTTCTAGAAACATGGTAGAGAGAGAGAGAAAGAGAGAGAGAGAGATAAAAATGGAATATAAAAAGATTCGATTGTTTATAAATTAATGAGGACAAGATAGGTAATAGAGGATTTATTGATGTATTTAAAAGGTTAATAAAACTTAAATTCACTAAATGGACTGGCCAGTAATTGAACCTAATTAATTTTAGGTGGCTTAAAGCCCATCATCATGATCAGTTTGACAGGGTCAATGTTGATGTGTCTACAAGTGTTTGTATTGCTTCACCAATTAATTATACTAACCATAAAATAATCTTAATATGATTTGTTTAGTAATTTTGGAAAGTGATATAGTATATGTTGTGCCCTAGTTCAAATGGCAACCACCGGTAGCTAGCAAGTTGTGTTTTGATTACTTGGAAAACTTTGCTCTAATCTGTCGCTCTCATCCTTCTTATTTATATAAGTTAGGTGAAAGCAATATTTGAGAGAATTTTCTTTTAAAAAAAATTAAGAAAACATAATTTCAAAAAAATGAATCATATTATTTTGTATCAATTTTTTGTTTATATAACATTATCCAAAAAATAAATGTAGATGACTTACTATAGAAGAACCTTTTGTTTTTCGTGGTGAATAATTCACTTTTTCTATTAGAATCCGGACACACACTTAAATATTCTAAAATTACAAAAAATTCTATAAATTATAAAAATTCAAAAATTCAAAAATATTAAAAGTTATAATTACATAAGTTTATTTATATCAATAATCACAATTTGTTCATCTTTAAAAAATACAAATTCAAAAAATAAAAAACTTGATACTACTAGATTAGTGAGAGAAAGACTTCAATAGATTAGATAGCAAATCATCGTTGGAATAGTATAACTAATATATATATATATATAATTTACATTTACATTAAAACAAGAAAATTAACTTTCAATTTTTTTTTTTTCCATTTTTGACCATTAAAATTGCTCTACCTAACAAATGGCAAAGATAGTGCACTTTAATACATAACCCGCTAGTCTTTTGATTGATTTATTTATTTATTAATAAAAGTCAGTGATTAATTGTTAGATTAGCATTTATGAGAGTTAGTCTCTCCACCATTTGCAAAAGTATTAGGCTTTTGATACATTAAGATTATGTTTAGATCATAAATTTAAAAAAAAAAAAATTAAAAAGAAATAAAATATAATTAAATTTCACCCAATTTTTTGCTCTCTCTTCTCAAATCTCATCTATTTTTTCGCACACTCTTTTCAAAGTCCTACCAAGCTTAAAAATCGTAGTTTAAGAAAAAAGAAATTTTTTTTTGAACTTATGAAAATAGAAATTTGAACACTTGGTTAGTTTTGCATACACACCGACAAGCAAACACAGTACTCATAATCATTTTCTTATTAACCAAACACAGTACTGAGCTATTCAAAGAAAAAGAAAAATAACAAAAAAGCCCTAGAACTAGAGTAATGAAGGAGTGATCTTGATAACAAGTCCAGGGAAGACATCGTCAGGGTCATGAATATGAGGGTTTTTCTCAACTATAAAAGGGTCGCCGCACTTGTCGCTGATCGTGTGAAGCGTTTCTCCCTCTCCGACAACGTAGATTTCGTCGCAAGGTCGTCGAGGGTTCGACATGAAGAGCTGGTGGTTCCCTCCGAGACTAACATTATCATCATCATCATCAGCCATGGTGATGAGAGAGTAGTAGCCTTGCTCCTTTTCTAGTACTTCAAAAGAGCAGCTTAACATGATGAGGGCAACAACAACAATAGCACAGTACCATGAAGCTGTATTGGCTATGGTGGTTGTAGATGTTTTCATGGTCTTTTTTGTGGGGTTTGAATTAACCATGAGAGAGAGAGAGAGAGAGAGAGAGAGAGTAGATGAGAAAAGCCTAGTTTGGATTTTTGGAGGAGAGGAGAGGAGAGGAGAGGGGGATTTCGGTCAAGGATTAGAACTCAGTTTTAACGGTTTTTGTTGAGGAGAAGTTGGCTACAGACGACCACGATGGCCTTTTTTTTTTTTTAACACTGATGATATCACAATTGTTTGTTTTTTTTAAAGTGATTTTTTGATTTTTTTTTTATAATAAGAAGATAGGTAAAAAAAAAATTTAATTGACTTTTTTCTAGTTATTTTTTGACTAAATTAGCCTGTTTGAAAACAATGCCTAAAACTCTAGCTTCCCAAACAAGGCAAGTGTTTTGAGAATACCACAAGGTTGTGTGTCCAACTAATCATGTGTTTGTTAATTTTTCATATATATATATATATATATATTTTATTTTTTTGATCATGTAAGAGCATTTCCAATACTTAGATTTGGAATTAAATTTAAATTTGATAAAAAATGCTTACTTTTTTTTCACCAACATTGACATCAAACCTATATCAAATGAGAGGAAAAACAAAAGTTTTATCAAATCAAGGGAGGTTTTAGCGTTCATCAAATTTTTGGAAAGAGCCGTTGCGCTTCACCGTATACCGGTGTAACAACCCTCATTTTGACTTAGTCATATTTGTATACATTTATGTATGATATTGTTTTGTTATGTGCCTTTGCATATCTTGTCTTGATTTGCTCAAGTGTTACTTGCGTGCTTTGTTCTTGCTTGGTGTGTTGCCGAGGCCGACTTAAGCCTAGGCACTTTCAAGACCTTTGTCACTTAGAACTATCTTAGAACCCCGTTGGTTGACCTCCATCTTCGCTCTGGCATATTGGCCGAGATGTCACCATCTAGGCCGAGATGTTAATATCTAGGTGTTCTAAATCCTTGATCTTTGCTTGAGTGATTTTGTTCCTGGGATGGTATGACCTAGACCGAGGTGTGGCACACCTAGGCCAGGGTGTGGCACAGTTTAGTCAACTGTTGTCCTTCCAAGCCGATGTCCTTGCCTCTTGATTGCCGGAGTCTTGCTGTTAGCCGATGTCGTTACTTGCCGGCGTGTTCGTGCCGCCTAGCTTGCTGAGTACGCTTTGTCTTGGTCTTGTCCTGTCAAGTCTGTCACCTTTTGAGTTGAGCGAATCAGTCGATGCCACGTGTCCCGACAGAGGGATTAAGTCAGTGTTTGTCGTGTGAGGCATTTCATTTTTGTATCAATCTTGCCTTTTTAGAGAGAGAAGCTCTAGTTAGAAGAATGAGGAGTTTGAGCTAGAGAAGGAGGCTTCCAAGCTTGATCGTTGGAGCTTGAACCGTTAGATTCGAGTTTTGAAGTTAGAATCTTAACCTATTCTTGTTGTTCTTATTCATTACCTAGCTGCATTGCACGATCAAACCTGTTTTACACACCATTCATCGATTTAAAGTTGGTTTTAGAAAGAGAAAAACGGTTTTCATGTGTTTTTAGAGAAAAGCCTCGTTTGATCCGAAAGTTTACATTAAGGCTCATGTTTTTGTGTTTGTTTTGATAAGATCCTTGAGTGTGGATACCCAGGTCCAAGTTTTTGAATTCATAGCATGAAGTCTCAGCTATTGTAATAGCAAGTTTTGATCTTTGTATTCATCTTCCTCATGTTCATGTTCTTCAAGTTCTTCATGATCATGTTCTTCACGTTTATCAAGACCAGATTTTTCCCGACTTCGCCTTTGAATGTGGCCATCGAGGCTACACCACGGCAAGGAGGTGTGGGACCTCGGCCTAGACCTGGTAGTTGCCCAGCGTGTTTTTCCAAAGATAGGAAACTGTGTTTCGATTTGATTGACTTAGTTTTTGAAGAATACCAAGGTCATTTGCATGTAAGCTAGACTTGTTTTGAGTAGTGCACTCAATAGACTTTGCCATGTGTTATAGGACTTGGACTTGCCTTGACCCCGACGTTTGAAGAACTAGGTGATTGGTATTTTTAATAAAGCTATGTTATACGTTTTGATAAAGACTTTGCTTTGATGTGAGTGGTATTTTTAATAAAGTTATGTTCTTAAGGTTTTGATAAAGCTTTGCCTTGTTTTGATAAAAGTATTTGTTAAGCATGAATGATATCCCTATTTTATGTATCAAGTATAAGCTTCGTTTTGAATGGCAATGTATCAAGTAAGCTTTGTTTTAACGATATTCTCGGAAAGTCCCTTGTGCTGGAGGACTCTAAACTTGAGCAGCACCCAAGTGTTAAAGGGCTACAGGCTCTTGTAACATAGGTCCCTCATGCTGGAGGACTCTAAACTTTCGCAGCACCCTTGAGTTGTACCCAAGTGTTAAAGGGCTACGGGCCTTTGTAACATGGGTCCCTCGTGCTGGAGGACTCTAAACTTTCGTAGCACATCTTGCCTTGGAAGTCCTTTGTGCTAGAGGACTCTAAACTTTCGTAGCACCCTTGTTTGAGATGTTTATCTTGCTTTGTCTTGTTTTGCCACAGACGGTCTACCGCGTGGATATGTTTGCCGAGATGTTATTATTTGTAATATGTGATGCTAGTACGTATCCCAAGAAACTGTGAAGATTTGTTAGATGGACGAGGTCCATTCCTTGTTATATATATATAGAGTTTTGTCTTGTATTGTTTTGAAAGGACTTCGGCTATTATTCATGCAAACCTTTATTATTTATACCATTCACTGAGTATCCAAGCTCATCCTCTCTATATATATGTAGGTGATGAACAAGAAGGCGGTGACGCCTAGATGTGATTTCTGGAGCTTGTTTTTGGGTCTTATTTATGTCGGCTTAACCTGCACCTAAGCTAACAGTCTTGAAAATCATGCTTCTCGACTTGTAATAATTGTATTTTGAACACGTCGGCTGAGAAGCCTTTTGATCAAGATGTACATTTTTGTGTAATTGTTATGTCGGCAAAGGAGATGTCGGCAACCTGGCAAACTATGTACTTAAATCTGCAATTTGTATAATTTGTTTATGTCGGCTTGCGAAGCCCTTTGCTAATACGAAAAATGTAACTTGCACTTTGCTTGTTTGTCATTAAGTTATAACCCATATGTGAACGGTTACTATCTCATGTGGCTTGTGCACTGCTCTTATGGACCATTTGTATTTTAGATTATTGCTTCTGCACTTGTGAGCCCCATATATTTATACTCCGATTGTGTGTGAATTTTGAAAACTGGCCTTCGGTAATCTCGGATTACTGGCCATCACGGCACCAAACTACTAGGGGCGGTTTGGGGTCGTGACAGAATGGTATCAGAGCACAAGTTCCTTAGTATACGTTATTCACACACTTTGAGTCCTAAAGAGCATAGGATTTCCCCTTAGAAGGAAGTTAGAATTGCATCATATTGCTTGCTATGTGAACGAGGTGTGCATTGTCTTGGCATGCTTAACTGTTACTTGCCTACGTGATTACTTGGTCATTTCATTTTAAAGCCACATTTTGCATACTACTAGCATCATGAGGAGAGGAAGACCTCCAGTTGGCCGAGGTCAGTCGGAGGACAGAATAGACAGGCTGGAAAGGCTGGCTGAAGGTTTGGCCCGCAAATTAAGGCAGACAAGACAGCAGTACGCTAGTGCTACGTCGACTTAGGCCGAGCAGACGAACGGCCGAAATGCAGTTCCACCTCCACCCCCTCCAGTACCTCAAGTGCCCCTACAGCCAGCTTTATATGGGGACGACACGATAGCTCTGATTAGAGAGTTTAAGAAAATGCAACCGCCAAGATTTCAAGGGGGCATAGAGCCGATGAAAGCCGAAGCCTGGGTTTTGGAGATAGAAAAGTTGTTCGAGATCTTTCCCAGCACTGACACCCAAAAGGTGACGTTAGCAGCTTTTACACTTGATGACAACGCCCGCAGATGGTGGATGATGGTTCGAGAAAGCAATCCAGACTTGACCTGGACCCGATTTTTAGAATTGTTGTACACCAAGCACTTTCCCTTAAGTGTTCGGAATCGTAAGGCTACCGAATTTCAGACTCTTACGCAAGGCAATAGAACAGTAGCTGAATATGACTGTGCCTTTACAGAGTTGGCAAGGTACGCACCCCAGATGGTCAATGATGAATATATGAAGGCTAGGAAGTTCGAAAGTGGGCTCCGTGGACCGATACAAGACCGGGTTAACATGCTCAACATGCCGACTTACGCTGGAGTGCTGGACAAGGCCATTCTGGCCGAAGCTAACTTGAATAGATACCAGGGTTCAGGAGAGAGCCAGAGGAAGAGGCGGAGTTATGACAATCGCCGTGCACAGTTTAGTACCAAGAAGAAAGCGAACGTCGACAGCTCAAGCAACCCAAGACAAGAGAGTGGTACTAAGCCAATATGTTCCAGTTGTGGGAAGCCACATTTCGGGGTCTGTCGTCGCGCGTCTGGGGCTTGTTACGAGTGTGGTGAAGTAGGCCATTTTGTGAGGGACTGCCCAAAAATGAAGGCTGGAGAAGGTAAGAAAGATGAGAATACTTCAGCCTCTGTGCAGAAAGGTAACGCTGGGAAGGGACCGATGAGGCAGGGCAGAGTTTTCGCACTGGTGCCAGGGGACACGCAAAATGCCGAGACAGTAGACACTCAGAATGCTGAGACAGTGGTGTCAGGTATGCTCCTAATTTTCTCCCAAAATGCCTATGTGTTGATTGATTCGGGTTCTACGCATTCGTTTGTATCTGCTAAGTTTGCCGAGAAGATTAATAGAGAACTAGAACCCCTTGATTATGTATTATCTGTGTCTACTCCATCTGGGAGATCTCTGATTGTTGCATCCATTTATAGAGCATGTGTTGTTGTGATTGAGAATGTTGAATTGTTAGTAGATTTAATGCCTCTAGACATAACCCATTTTGATGTTATACTGGGAATGGATTGGTTAGTCGCAAATCATGCATCTATAAATTGTGTTTCGAAAAATGTCACATTGAGACCCCCAGACCTAGCCGAGGTTATTTTCCAGGGTAAAGGGATAATGCCCCCACCGTACTTGATTTCGTCCATTAAGGCCTATAAGTTAATTCAGAAAGGATGCGGCGAATCTGAAAATCATGCTTCTT